ACGGTCTTTTACTGTGTAACCCGAATAATGCCTGGAATTATCGAAATTCGTGTGGGCGAATTTTCTCCAAGGAAAACGTGTAGTAAAACTCGTAGCCTCCTTATGGAATAAGACCCCTTTATATAGTCACAGGTTTTAGGGTTTAAAACCTTTTCCTAAAACTGTTGTGTCTTCCAATTCCATCAAGAAACGAGATTCCATTTAATTCCTAATTATTTAGGCACACTAGGGACCACAGAATTTAATTTACGAGGCTTCCTATTATGGACTTAATTCGAAATATCCGAATTAATACTACCATAATAAATTACGAATTATTTCACTAAAAATTCGTAATTGCACTCCTCTGTTCAATTCCGAAATTCACCCATTAAATCTTATTTAACTCCCCATGTTAAGATTCAGATACTAATCAATCAAATTAAATTACTGACGATTTAATTTATTGATTATTTCCTTTAGACTTTCGCTTAACTTATTTCATGTGTCGGATACAAAATCCACCGGCCGGGTTTACACATGAAAACTTATAATAATTAGTTATGTTTGTTGGATTTTGCATCTGTTACTGCTACTGTTTTCTAGAATAATTAGTTGTTTAGTTTTAGCAGGAGTCTGCTAGAATATTCAGAATTTTAATTATAATAAGAGTTTAGTAATTTAGTTATAGGAGGAGTCTACTACTTTATTTGTTTGGCTATTTAAAGCCCTATGATTAAAAAAAATTTAGAGACGGTTTTTCAATACAAATTTTCAACCTTCTTGTTGCTTGCGTATTTTCTAAAATCCATAACAATGTTAAGGGGATTCTTATTCAACATCATTTATTATATATGCATAAAAATAATTTGACTTTGTATATATTGTATTGGGTGATACCCTTTTTGCTTGAGCCCGACCGGGTTGGGTCCGGTCCGGGGCAAGTCGGGGCCATCGAACCCGACCTGGATGCAAGGTAGAACGACGGCCACGTCAACAACCGAGGTCGAGTCATTTCGAGACCGTTGCAGAGCTTGATATGTGTCACCACCGGATGGAGAAACACACAAGGTCGGAAGCCGGACTCGTAACGGATAACCAAGCGTCGCCAGATATCTCGCCCAAACGTGATTTTCTCAACCACTTCAGGCCATTAAGGCGTAATTACAGGGATCCACGATGTAATTAATTTACCTACCTTATTTTTACCCTTAATCAGAATGTATAAAAGGGGAGAAGACCCCATAAAGAGGGGATCGGAAACCATTACACTACGGTACCATCTCTCTCAATTCTTGTACGCTATCAAGCACAATTGTTCTAAGCAATATTATATTCTGCGATTATTTACTTTAGCAGCAATTGTTGAGTCTTTATCTTTTATTTTCCTCAATCTAAACCTTTTGTATCTTTTAGTTCACGGATCCTTAAAACCCCATATAAATTCAATTGTTATCCAGATTCTAGGGTAAACAGACATAGTGGTAGATAGCAACGTCGGGGAGATCAATGGCCGGAACCAAAACGCCGGAAGCTGAGAAAAATTCAACGGAATAGTGGCCGACTTTGAGCTAGAAGGATCTGCCTAAAACACCGAATCAGCCCATCAATCTAATTAATGCACCAATGGAGAAGAAAAAATAACTCACGGGAACTCCAATATATTTTTTCCGATAATTTGTTTAATTTCCGACACAAGAAAGCATGAAATGATAATAACAGAAACTACGTGGGCGTTTGGACATAAGAATTGTAAAATTTCGAAAAAAGTGAATTGTTTTTTCAAGTAAAAATAATATTTGATAATTAGAGTTGTGTTTGGACATGAATAAATTTTGGTTTGTTTTTGAAATTTGGTGAATGGCTGAGTGAAAATTTTAAGAAATAGTTTTTTGGAGTTTTGAAAAATTCGAAAATTCATTTTCAAGTGAAAATTTAAAATTTTATGGCCAAACATTAGTTTCAAAAAAAGTTAAATTTTTTCGAATAAAGTAACTTTTTATGTCTAAACGGGCTCTACTTAGAGTTAAGTTAAAATTATGGCACAATGTTTGGTGCAAACCTTGAGTAGCATTTGGATTTTGGGCAACTTAGGTAATGGGTCTAATTAGGGGTGTACAAATGAAGCCGACAAACCGCACCAACCAGATAATCCGAGTCAAACCGAAAAAAAAAACCCGACTATGGTTTGGTTTGATTTGGTTTGGTGTTGGAAAAAAAAACCCGACCATATTTGGTTTGGTTTGGTTTTAACTAAAAAAAGTCAAACCGAAACCAAACCAACCCGACATTATATGTATAGATGTTTTAAATATATTTAATACATAAAAATATTTATTGTAGTGTAGTTTATAAATATTTCTTAAGTGTTTTCATAGTTTTATCTTTTTACGTATTATTTCAAACTTGGACTTATAATTTTTGGTTGATCCAATAAGTCTTATAGTTCATAAATGTTAGAAACTCAAATAAATCCTAAATCAATATCAAATTAATATTAATGCTAATAAAAGATATTCAATGCAATTGTACTGTGAATAAAAATAGTGTTGGGTATTTATTTTTTAGTTTTTTCGTGGTTTAGATAAAATGCATAACTTATTTTTCTTTTAGTGTTTAGTCATGTAAATAATACTAGTACTTATTAGCCGTACTTATTTTAGCAACTTATTAGTAATTTTAAATTATGTTTGTTTTCATTATGGCTTATTAATAATACTTATTTTATACGATTTTATTATCTTTATTGTTTAATATTTTAGTACAATGTCGTAACTCATCTCATATTTATGTTATTTTATTGAAAAATACCTTATATAGTTATATCTTACTAGGATTAAAGAAATATTTGGAGCACAAATACTATATTTTGTGCTATGAAGACTTTATGAAAAAAACCCGAAAAAATCCGAGAACCCGAAAAACCCGTGAAAAACCAAGGTTGAAAAACCCGACTTTTATTGGTTTGGTTTGGTCTTTAGATTTAATAATCCGATATAATTGGTTTGGTTTGGTAATTAGAAAATCCGAACCAACCCGACCTTTGTACACCCCTAGGTGTAATAATATACTATGAAAGAGTAAACCTTGCAAAAAGAGTATCACGGCAAGAAAAGAATATCTTTTTTTCTTAATACATCCGTAAAATTTCTGTAAGTTTTCCTCATTTTTGTAAAATTATTAGCATAATTTAACTGTCCCAATTTTTTTGTAATAGTCTCCTATCTTCTATTTTGTTTGGAAAGTTGTCTATTAAATTACAAATTATAAACAAAAATCATACTATCACACCATATTATATCATATATATTATGAAATTTGTCTACTACTTGTACTACGCATAACTTGCTAAAAATTGTTGAAAATACTTGGATTATTTTGTACAGTTGGTTATTATTTGAACAATACATATACTATCAATAAACAAATTTCATATCAATAAACATTAGTTGAAAGTTAAAACAAAGAAAGATTTAACTTTTTTTAGTTCAGCTCTTTAAATTTATTTTTTCGAAATATTCTCTCTCCGTTCTTCTCTCTCGGTGCGGTGCAAGATATATAGTACGCCTACCAAAATACTCAGTTGTTAGGATCGAAAAAAGTCAGGTGTCATGCGAAAGCTAGCAAAGCAAACCTTGAGCGACGACAAATCAGACAACAAAAGAGAAATATACCAAAAGAGATACAAACATATAACGTGGTTCGGTCAACTGACCTACGTCCACGTCGGAGATGAGCAATCCACTATAATAAAAGAGAGTACAAAATATTGAGAGAACAACCTCACGAAGAGGCAAACACAAGTGACACACTAACACTTGTCCCGTAAAATTCTCCCCCTAAACACGACTCTCAAACCCCATATGGCTACATTGTGGATGCTACTGAATGAGAAGGGCGGATCCTCAATTTATAGAACTCCAAACCTTTTCCTACAAGAAAAAGGGACTAGCCAAATATGGAAGAATTATATTTTCCTTCTAGGAGAATAAAACTCAATTATGGTAAATATGTTGTCCTTTCCTTCGTGAGATAGGAAAACCAATTATGGTAAGAAAATCTGAACAAACACCTAACAATTCTCCCCCTTGGCCTGAATTTTCTGACAAAATAAACTTGATCCACCTTCTTCGCATAGCCTTCAACAGATCGCATCTTCAAATGTCCACCGCAAAGTTTGTCTCAACGTGCGTAGCACACCGGTCAAATTTTTCAGACAAAAATCATGATTATCGTCAAATATGTTGCAGCTAGAACTAAACCCGCCAAGATGAACCTGTATTGAACCTTGCTTTGATACCACTTGTTAGGACCGAAAAAAGTCAGGTGTCATGCGGAAGCTAGCAAAGCAAACCTTGAGCGACGATAAATCAGACAACAAAAGAGAAATATACCAAAAGAGACACAAACATATAACGTGGTTCGTTCAACTGACTTACATCCATGACGGAGATGAGCATCCACAATGTAACCATATGGGATTTGAGAGTCGTGTTTAGGGGGAGAACTTTACGGGTTAAGTGTTAGTGTATCACTTGTGTTTGCCTCTTCGTGAGGTTGTTCTCTCGATTTTTGTACTCTCTTTTTATATAGTGGATTGCTCATCTCCGTCGTGGATGTAGGTCAGTTGACCGAACCACGTTATATGTTTGTCTCTTTTGGTATATTTCTCTTTTGTTGTTTGATTTATCGTCGCTCAAGGTTTGCTTTGCTAACTTCCGTATCACACCTGACTTTTTCGGTCCTAACCTTAGTTCTCCGTGAGATCGATACCGAACTTTTAGATCGGATTATATTTACAGGAACCACTTATTCTTTTTAGGACTCTTTTTAGGACTAAAGTTGAGGGCGATCAAAAAAGGATCCACTTACAGCACCAATGGAGAAGAATCCATGTGGAGGTAATGTTATCACTCTCGTATCTCATCTTGATTTACGCAGCTGCTGCCTGGATGTGGAGTTAGGACAAGACAAAAGTCCAAGTTATAAGCTCGGCTTTACTGCCCAACAACCCCAATATATTTATTATGTACAAAATCCCAAAAGTCTCACATCACTCTCCACGTTAATCTTTAGTATACATCTCACCAAAGTCTTCCTCGTTTCAGAAAACTCCACTTTCAACTAAGCTATTTTTATGAATCAACACCATCACTAAACAACCCAAATAGGAAGAAGAACAAAAATGGAAGATTCAACACTACTGCAAGTTCTTATCATCACACTTTCTTCTATTGCCCTTGCCACCTTTCTCTTTTACAACATCCTCCGTCGTCGTCGACCAACAAGTACACCACCATCTCCACCGGCGCTCCCGTTAATCGGTCACCTCCATCTCCTCACCGACATGCCCCACCTCACCTTTACCCGACTCTCTCAAAAACTCGGCCCGATCATCTACCTTCAACTCGGTCAAGTCCCCACTGTAATCATCTCCTCTCCTCAACTCGCCGAACTCATCCTCAAAACCCACGACCATATCTTCGCCAGCCGCCCACAGCTCATCGCTGCTCAATACCTCTCCTTCGGTTGCTCTGACGTCACCTTTTCCCGTTACGGCCCGTATTGGCGTCAAGCTAGAAAAATCTGCGTCACCGAACTCCTCAGTTCAAAACGAGTTAACTCGTTTCACTACATAAGAGATGAAGAAATAAACCGCATGTTACGAGTTATCTCGACTCACTCTGACTGTGAACTCGACATGAGTTCGATTTTCTTTACTGTTGCGAATGATATTTTGTGCAGGGTAGCATTCGGGAAGAGATTTATGGACGGATTGAAAGAGAAGGAGAAGGATTTGGTGAGTGTGTTGACGGAGACACAGGCACTGTTAGCTGGGTTTTGTGTTGGGGATTTTTTCCCAAATTGGGAATGGATTAACTCGGTGAGTGGGATGAAGAGGAGATTGATGAGAAATTTGAAGGATTTAAGAAGGGTTTGTGAGGAGATTATAGAAGAGCATGCGAAAAGGAGAAATGAATGTTGTGGTGATTTGGGGAAGGAAGATTTTGTTGATGTATTGCTGAGGGTTCAGAAAAGAGATGATCTTGAAGTCCCCATCACTGACGACAACCTTAAAGCTCTTGTTCTGGTACTATTCATTACTCTCTTTTTTCCAATTTATTTTTATCACGACTTTTTAACATATCTTTTAAATATTTTAAATTTGTTATAAATAGAATTTTATTTATGATGAATGTCTATATTTAGAGATATTTTAGGGTTCATTGCTTGGTGGCTAAGTCACTATCTCCCTATAAATAGAGGGTTCTATTCCATTGTAATTCACCCCAAATCAATAAGAATAATTTCTCTCTCTCTCTTTCTCTGCAATATTGTTCTTCTACTTTTATTATTTCATAACACGTTATCAGCACGAGACTCTAACCAATTGAGTAGAAGCTTTGGGATTGAGCATAATGATTGTTAATTATTCCATGAACTTCCTTCACGATTAAATTCTGGATTTAAGGTAAGTATTTTACCGTATTTTTCTCTTTTATTCTATACTTTGATTTTAAATACAAGCAAAGACAACAAAGTTTGATTATAACTCTAATGGAGTTTGTAAAAAATTATAACCACCTGAAGTGGTAAAATAGTTATCCCTTGCCATGATTGTGGGCAAAGAATTGAAAACCCGTCTCATTGAATTTGCTCCATTCTCATTCCCTTAAAAGAATGTGATAGCAATATGTGATAAGTCTGAAAGAAGACAAAATTATTACCATGAAGGTATCAATGGATGTGGACGTGGTAATAGACGAAATTATAATCGTCATCATTGTGATAATGAGAATAATAAGGATTCTCAAAATAATCCTTCACTCTCTGAAAGTAATATTTGTCATCGATTTGACATGAGATTTTATAAAGCACATATAGATGATTATGGTCCATTCATGATGTGAATGTGACAACATCTGATTTATGAATACATATCATTCTTGGAGGAATATGAACGTGCTAGTGGTAGTGAATATACCACGCTCACCTCTAGAAGGAGGTTTGAGAGGAAATAAGAAAATAATGTCATTATTATGGCATAAATGGACATTGGTCACGTACTTATTGTACGCCAAAATATTTTGGCATTGTGATTATTAAAAGACAATGGTAATCCAAGAAACATATCTTGCATATAATTTTGACCATAACCATAATGATATAACTTTCTCTTTAAAAGATATATTCACCATATGGGTGTTGATGAATATGTGGTACTACAAAATTAATTGAGAACTCTGCAAGAGCCAATTATACTATTTTGGAGAAACACAATTAATTACCAATAAGGTATTGTGTTGTAGTAAGTCTCAAAGAAACTTATTCAGTTTCTAAAGTATACACGAAAGCGGTTGATTGTATTGAGACTATAAATAAAGAAAAGATTTAATATCTTTTATTACTACAACTTGTAGCGGGGTAATATGCATGTGAAAAGCTACCCGCTTTATTCTCCAATTTGTACTACATAAACAAAAGAATACCACAATAAAGTGGATGTTTATTGATATAAAAATCCATATCATAATAAACTTGGAGTTTATTGATAATTGCACACGTCATGGTGTAAACCTGAAGTTTATCAATATTGATAATTTATCCAGTTGGCATAATTGGTTTAGCTATGTTAATTCAAGTATGATGTGCAAAAATAAAAGAGAATTCACATGGGTAAATATTAAAGAACTTGAAAGTTCTTTACAAATTTTCTTATGTTACTTGTTCTCATTAATTTATATACCAACTAAAATTGGGTTTGAATCCCATGAATGCTGGAAATATCAAAGGTGAACATGTGCCCATTCACCTGCCATGTATACCACATAAGATGCATCTATGAGATGGTTACATGTGCGATTATTATTAACCCGCAACATGGTGTTTGCGAGGTAACTTGCTCAATAATTTGATTCAGAGCATAATTTCCAGATTTTCTATTCAAGAAGTTCATCTTGATAAGTTGGTTTACATCACAGTACTTGGTTTAGCAAAATGATTTACTAAGTGCCTCCACTTAATAGCTAAATTGTTGCTGATGAGAACAAAGTTATCTATATCAGATTGGTATATGTTATATACGAAAGTATATTACATTCTCCCCTCACAAGTGGTTCAAGGTCAGGAACCAAATAATTTTATCTTATTATTATTATTGATGTGCAGTGTGTATTTTGATTAACACCATAACGCACAAAGATGGGTTCTCAAAGTTGAGGAAACAAGTTAGTTTTTCTAACATGAGGGGGAGACAAGATACAACAGTTGAGAAAAAGTTACATGGAATGAATTATCATTTATACATCTAGATCCTCGAATAAAATAATATGAACTTGAAGTTCATAAAAGGATAATTCATGTGCAATTTATTGCAAAGCATGCCAGACGCATTTGCTGACCCAAAGAAAGTAACTATATTCTCATTGCAAATGCTCCTATTAGAATAAGTCCTAGAAGGACAAAGTCTATAGTACGCTTAAAGCATATAGACAAATCGGTTTCAAATAAACTTCTTGATAAAGAAGATGAGCAAATGATCAAAATGATCATAATAAAGGAGGCAAGTGATCTAGAAAATCACAAGACATAACACTTCATAAAATCTCATGAGAGATTCGGGTACCTGAAAATATGAATGAAGAGATCTCTATGTTATGTCTTTATGAAAATATATTGAAACTGATATAAAATGTTTGTCGACAACATCTATGATAACGCTAAATATATATGAGCATCTTAAGTCTAGAGAAACAATTCAAGTAAAATTGGTTTCATATGAAAGACATGTAGTTTTGGAACTGCAGTTCAAACACTTGAAAGTATAAAGTCAATGATATGTGCAATCAGTTTTCGGTAACTTATATGTCTAGCATGACATGAAAACTTGATATGCATCTAAAGTCTATTATATGGCTTATATGACTTAACTTATATGACAATCCATAGAGGATTTAAGTTGCTTGAAGCATATACAAAATTCTTGATCTTGAAGTACCACTTTCTCAGTGCAATTTGTGCACAAATGTATCTTGCTATAACTATATGCATGACAATATGATAGCAAGAGTTTTCACCTCTATGTGAAGATATTGAACTGACGATTCCAACAAGATCATATGAAGACAATACATCTGTTAGGGATGATGATTTCAAGGTGAAACAAATTCATTCAAGTTAATATGGCTGATCTGTTTATCAAATATCTACCAACTATCTTTTGAAGATGGTGCACAAGATTGGAATGCAAATGCTTAAGAATGTGAATTGATGCTCTCATCAGGGGGAGTTAATACGCGTTGTACTCTTTTTCCCTTACAAGGTTTTGTCCCACTGGATTTTCCTTGCAAGGTTTTTAACGAGGCAACCGAAAGGCGTATTATTAGATATGTGTACTCTTTTTCCTTCTCTAGAACTTTTTTCCCACCCGGTTTTATTTTAGTTAAGGTTTTAACGAGGCACATTATCTGTTGAATAGACATTCAAGGGGGAGTGTTATAAATAGAATTTTATTTATGGTGAATGTCTATATTTAGAGATATTCTAGGGTTCATTGCTTGGTGACTAAGTCACTATCTCCCTATAAATAGATGGTTCTATTCCATTGTAATTCACCCCAAATCAATAAGAATCCTTTCTCTCTCTCTTTCTCTGCAATATTGTTCTTCTACTTTTATTATTTCATAACAAAATTTTAATTATTAGAATGACTTATAGGAGTATTACTTTTTACGTAGTTTATAAATATTCTAATTTTATTTGAAAAAACTTAAGATTTTATGTCTGAACTCGCGATTAAAATTAAGTAGGCGTTTGAACATAAAAATTGTAATTTTTGAAAAAAAGCGTTAAGTTGAGAAATGGTATTTGGAATATATTTGAAATTATGTTTGGACATACATTTCACTTGAAAAAATATTATAGTTTTGTCAGTAAATTTTTTTGAAAAAGTTGTCGAAAACTATTATAGTTTCGTCACTTTTTGGTTTTTGAAAGCTCGTATTCGAAATTTTTTTAAAAACTTGCAAAATTTTATGGGCAAACACAATTTTAAATTATTTTTATGAAAAAGAAATTTTTTAATGGACAAACGGGACTAAAAAGTTTAACTCTGGAAATCTTTGCATCACATAAACTGGGATGGAAGTACTTTTTTTTTTTTTTTTTTTTTTTTTTTTTTTTGAGTTTAACTTTTACACTCAAAGTTTAGGTTAAAATTTGATGCAATAGACTGTCTATAATAATCCTGATTTTGTAACAAGCAATATACAATAAATATTCTACGATTATCGATTAAAATATACTAATAATATAAAAGTTTTTACATTATTAGTGTATTTAAAATAAACTCATATGTGTATAGAAGATCAATTTTATTAAAATTTAGAAAATAAATCGAACTAAAGTAATTCCGTCTTTCAATTAAAACTTGATATTTGGGAAACTTCACATAAAATAGTATAATATGCAATTAGCCTCACATCAAAATAGTGAATAAAACTTTGAATATTGGTTAATAATTGGTGCTCTACCTACTTGCTTTAGTCAATAATTGGTGCTCTCAATATACAAAGACAAGTTATACATCAAATAGCATATTGGAGCGCAAGACTCTTCAGCTACTAACACAGTTATTATTGACTTTATAGGATATGTTCGTTGCTGGAACAGATACAACATCAGCAACACTGGAATGGACAATGACAGAGTTGGCTAGGCATCCAAGTGTTTTGGAAAGGGCACAAGATGAAGTTAGGAAAATTGCAGACAATAGGGGAAAGGTGGAGGAGTCTGATCTTCAACACCTATATTACATGAAAGCAGTAATAAAGGAGACTATGCGACTGCATCCACCGGTCCCTCTTCTAGTACCTCGAGAATCAATGGAGAAATGCACTCTCGATGACTACGAAATACCTGCAAAAACTAGGATCTTAATCAACACCTATGCCATTGGAAGGGATCCAGAGTCGTGGACGAATCCTCTTGAGTACAATCCTGAACGGTTTATGGACAAGGATATCGATTTCAGGGGACAAGATTTCAGGTTTCTACCATTTGGCGGAGGTAGAAGAGGTTGTCCAGGTTACGCCCTTGGACTAGCAACTATAGAGCTCTCATTGGCTCGCTTGTTGTATCACTTTGATTGGAAATTGCCTCCTGGAATAGCAGCTCAAGATGTTGATTTGTCAGAGATTTTTGGACTGGCTACTAGGAAAAGAGTGGCTTTAAAGCTTGTTCCAACCATCAACAGGCTCTACGCATCTGGATGATCTGCAGTTCGCCACTCTCTGATTGGAGTATTAGTTTTCTTTTCTTTACTTTGGAAATTTTAGATAGTCTGGTAATGAATAATTAGGCTCAATTGCGCTTTGCCATACCTGTACGGTTGTTCAAGGGTGACTGTAATTTGTAATACTTGTATCAAGAGTTCCCGCACATAATTCTACTACAGACAAATACAAAGTAGAAAAGTAGAATTCCGCGTAACACCAATGCTCACTAACGACTAACGTGGAGTCTGGAATCAAAGTAATGTAAAAGGCAATGAGAAGAACCAAATAACGTGGAAAAGAAAAAGGAAGAACTAAACTTGGTATGTCTTCCATGCGCTATACCTTCATGGCTAAACGCCCCAAGCTAACAGACGTTTGGTCAAATAGGATATTTGGAGAAATTGATTTTTGGATTATTGGGAGAGATTGTCTCTGTGGTTTGATAGCTCTGTTTGTTTTTAAAACAACTCATGATGGATTCATTTTTGTTTTAATTCGTGTAAATTAGACTTAGTGAAGTCAAGCTTATGTTTTATCCTCGCACTGCTTTTCCCCACCTGCCTCCCACATTTCATTAGCAGCTTCTTATCCCTACTTATAGCTGTAGTTCTAATAACACTACAAATTAGTTGTATTCATGAAGAAATCCTACTCTTTTGGTAGTCTTGGAACTCTACTTCTTAGTGGCATGCATGGCAACAAACATAAGCACAAATCAATCAGTTCTTCTTGCCTTGAAAGCTAGCTTTGCTCTAAATCCTTCTCATCCCTTAACTCAAAATTGGTCTTCACAAGCTTCAGTTTGGAATCAGTTGTTTCTCTCGCCACAATTGGAAACCTCTTGGTAAGACTGCACTAAATGTATCAAACATGAACATTCTTGGTAACTGATGTTTGGTGATAAATGATGAAAAGTTCATATTTTTTAGTATATTGGCATATTAATTTTTGTGTGTGTCGCGGGAGATTACATGATTTTCCAAGTGAAATATACTCATTATGTGTTTCTTATATGTAGGAACGAGTTTGGATGCTAAATGATCAAAAGATGACAATTCGACACAAAAAGAAGAAATAAAAGGAGTGGGAGCTCGTCTATTCTCGTGCGTGGCACGAAGTCGGACGCGAAAAAGGAGAAAAGTTAAGGCACAAAACAGCGAATCGAAGCAAAGGCACGGAGCGCTTCGCAAAATGGAAGAATCTCAAAAGTTGGATCCGCGTCAAAGTCCGCGTCTAGACGCGAAGGCAGACGCGGATCCGCGTCAAAGTCCGCGTCTAGACGCGAAGGCAGACGCGGATTCCAGCTCTCCCATCCGAAGTTGGATTGAAGAATTTCGCCCCTCATCAACCCTAGGTCATATAAATACATCCTAAAACACCACTTTGAAGGGGGGGGGGGGGGGGGACACACTTTTGACATAATTTAGAACTAAGGAGGCAGAGGAGAACGTTTTTGAGAGGAGGAGGACGTTTTTGAGAGAAAAAACACAAGCACAGAGCCGCCGTGGAGGCCGGGTTTCATCTTTTCTTCCACCAACTTAGTAATTTTTATGTTTCTTTGTATGATTTGTTGTTTTGCTACCATGTCTATGTGGAGCTAAACTTCACGTTCTAGGGTTGTGGTTCTTTCATGACTGTTGTTATTCGGATATCGCTTTTGATTTCTTAGTTTATCATATTGGTTTATTTATTCAATCCTGAACTAAATTATTTAATTGCTTGATCACCAATTGAATACTATCTACGAATCTTGAATTGAACTCGAAAGTGGGAATTCTAGATTGCATATAGGATTGAGTAGAGTAAGTTCTTGAACCCGGGCATCGGGGAACGGATTTACGGTTAGGATAGACATATATCTAATTGCCTTGCTTGGTTGATTTACAGGAATTATAAATGCGTTCTTGTTGATTCTAATTCCATAGACATATAGGAGTTAGGTTAGCTTGAATAGGCGAGTAAGAACTCGACAGATTCTTATGAGCAATATTAACCCTGTCAACCAATAAACTAGATAAATTAGTTAGTCAATTCAATTGAAAAATACAATAGGAATGTTAGATAGCCCATAACCCTAGATCGTTTTCATTACATAGATATCATAAAAATCTCCTCTTTCTCTCTGTTAAAAGTTCATTATTTATATTCTTTATTTAATTAGTTTAGAACCAAATACTACTAGGTTTAATTCTTATTTAGATAATTAGGATAGTCTAATTTAGTTAATAGTTAATCACAAGTCCTCGTGGGATCGACATCCGACTTTTAGTCACTTTATTACTTGACGACCGCGTATATTTGCGTGTGCGTTTGGCCGCAACAGTAACCATTCCGCCACAATTGGGAAACCTCTCCTTCCTCGTTTCTCTCGATGTGAGCAAAAATAATTTTCTTGGAGACTTTCTTCAAGAGAGGGCGATTGATCGGGTTATAATATTCTGAGCTTCAAATGTTAATTCTTGATAACATGATTTCACTCTATACCCCCTATTTGTTACCTATCTAAGTTTGAAACTCTCAGTTTAGATACAATCGTGTTCAAGGCAATATTCCCGAAGAGATTGGCAATTTCCAAAACCTAAAGGAGATAATGTGAAGCTAGAATAAATGAGATTAACAAACTATGTACCGAAAAAGAATCAATAAACTACAATCATTCTTCAAAGTAATATATTTAGGAAAGAGATAATCTGAAGCTAGAATTATCGAATTGTAAAGATATTTGGGAGAAAAATATGGATGAATTAATCATTCTAACTATGGTTAGAGCCTAGCTATAATCAATTAAAACTTAGCCATTAATTCTAAATGACATGTGCCTCTAATCTAAGTAAGAACCTAGGGAAATGAAGATAATAAAAATTGGAGAGGAGCTGGATCTAAGAAATTACTGCCCCTCCATTCTATTTAGTTGTCAATTTGTCAAGATAAGGTTCTACATGCTCATTAAAAAAATATTAAAAATATATAATTTGACTAATTTATCCCTTATTAATTCTTTAATCTTTATCAATTTATAGGCCTCTTAATTCTAAAATAATTAATGCTAAGGCTAAAGTTAAAAAAATAAAAACTTTTTTTAAATGATAAGCATTTGGGAATAATAATTTTTTATTTATACATCACAATTAAATGGGAACGGAGAAGAGTACCTTTCTAAATATCTTCTATATTATATTAAAAGTGGGAAGCCCCAAACTAAAAAGTTAAATTACCAATAAACCATTTTAAAAATAATAATAACAATAATTAAATAAATACCTACAAAAATATTAATTAATATTGTGCCTTTTCTAAATAGTTGTGTCCCTTCATTGTTAACCACCAACTTTTTTAAACTAAAGACACACTTTTCATATACATTCCCGTGAATTTTAACAAGATAAACATGGGTGTGCCATGAACAAGTTTCCTCTGATTTTATGTGCTTTCATTTCTAAATTTGAATGCACTCAATTTATGTAGCGGTGAAGTGCCCAATATTTTATTCAAAATCGGATGGATCGAGGTATTCTAGCAACAATGTATCTTTAGTTACAACTTAGTGTCTCCGAGATATATAATTACTTAGTTTCTATTCTTATCTTTTTTTCTTAACTTTTATTATTGTAATATTTTGTGGTACTATATAATTATTTGAATTCTTCTATCTCTTGGGCTAACAATATAAAGTGCATGAATAAAAGTGAGTGTAGGCGTTGTTACCGAAAGTCACCATATAAATCTCAACGTTTTACCCAAATAATAATTTTGATAATGAAAATGTCATGGACATTCTAAGCGATGAATCAAGAAAAAAAAATATGTACGAGAGAAGTTATATGATTCTAACAGTAACAAATTCCCCAACCCAATATCCAAGAAGAAAGTAACAATCAGGTTCTAACTTTAAAAGCATGAAGCTCATAATTAAAAAAAATTAAATTATTAAAATTTCCTTCTTTTATTTACCTTGATAATATCTGAAGAGTTGCCACCATTTTATGTGGCTGATATAGATGTCTCTTATGCTCCACATCTGGAGTATATTCAAATTCTGTATTTTCACAAGTCACTTTTTAACTTTCTTCACTATTTCTTCACTTTATGAAAAGACATACTTTCATTTTCTAAGTACACGTCTGTTCCTGACTAAAGTCAAAAAGTTACATTGCTTCTTATATTGCTGTTTTATCTACGATCGGTCAGTATGGTAACCTTATTGGGTTCATCCACTGGTGAGATATTTGCAAAGCTTGTACGCATGTGTTTTTTAAATACAATTATTGAACTTCTTCCGAATTTTTTTTCCAGATATTTTAATATTCATTTACGTGCTCTTTTAAATTTTGTAGTCATAGTGCATGTTTGACGCGCTCTTCTCATTTTCAAATGTTTGCTTTCTTTAACTTTAATCTATTTGCACTTCTATTTTGGTTTGATTTTTTAGTTTGCCTCAAAATTTCTCCATTCGCGTTTTACTTTATTATGAAATCTGCAATATTATATTTTCTTGAGTTTACATTTATTCTTTATTTGCTTATTGTTCTATCTATATGTTAATTTGTTGGCCGATTTTGTAAAACAAAAGGAGCAGTGTCACGACCCCAGTTCGTCCTCCGTGAACTATCGTGATGGCACCTAGTCTCTACGACTAGGTAAGCCTAACAAATGCGGAAAAAGAGACAATTGCAGAAAGAAAGTAATTAAAAACCGAGATAACAAAGTTAAACAGTGTTAAGATGCCGTCTGGCATATAACAGTACAAGAATCTCAATCTAACATTCCCAAAATCCGGAACCCCATGAATCACAAGCTAAAAGATTACATAATAAGCTCTAACTCCAGAATGTCTACCAACAAGGGAAAATACAGAAAAGGGCTATGCTAGTACTGAGAATAGAAAGGGATTCTTCGGTCTGCGGATGCGGCATATATACCTCGGAGTCTATACAAAACGCCTCGCCTCAAGCGTGATAAGTTTGAGTGAGAGTACCTAGATCTGCACATGAAAAACATGCGCAGGAAGGGCATGAGTACACCACAGCGGTACGCAGTAAGTGTCAAGCCTAACTTCGGTCGGATAGTGACGAGGAGGTCAGGGCGCTACTGAGGTTAAAGGAAATACAAGATATAATAGTGTAGAATAAGACAGTATACCTAAGTGCAACAGTAAAAAGTAACACAGGATAGAAGA